TTCGTGAAATCTTCTTTTGTATTTGTAAAATCTCATTTGTATTTGTAAAATCTCCATCTGTATTTATAAAATCTCTATTTGTATTCGTGAAATCTTTTTTTGTATTTGTAAAATCTCCATTTGTATTTGCAAAATCTCTATTTGTATTCGTGAAATCTTCATTTGTATTTGTAAAATATGCACTTATATTCGTAAAACTCATTTGTATTCGTTAAACTTACATTTTTTGTGTGTAAAATTCCATTTGTATTCGTGAAAACCAGCATTTTTATTTATATTGTACTTGTAAAATCATCATTCGTCACGTATTGGTAAAATATTCAATTACCGGCTATATTCATAAAATAACATGCTTGTGTGATTTGTGAGCGTGGAGAGCACAGATATTGCATGTATTAAAAATGGCAGAAGATCACAGGAGGCTGAAAATCTAAATAAATAAATCAATTTTTTGTCAGATATATCTGTGTTGTTATATCTCCCAGTCTCTATTTGTAGTCTGTGAGCACTAATCCTCAATTTTGTCATTGATGACCTATGATGAGTATTTTTGACTACGTGTAAGTAGTTGTCAAAGCCAAAGTTTGTTATCAGTTCTCTGTAAGTCCGCAATTTATTTTTGTGATTTTCCACTTTGTTATTGTCTAAAATTTTCAAATTTTGTTTTTAGTTTTTCTGATATTATTTTATTTGTAATTACATTATTCGCGTTTTGCTTTTTTTTCTTCATGCTACAAATGGTCTATATCTAGATCTTTAAGTATAAGTTTTAAACCCAGTTGTAGGTGCCAGAGTTGTCTAGTTCTAAGCCGAGACTGTATGCTTCATATACCAGAGAATTTTCAGTCATTTTTTTTATTCTAGACCAGTATTTGGACACCTTCCTAATTCTAAAAGACATGCCACATTGGTCGCTTTGCAGTATTTCATGTGCAATTGTTCCATTGGTGACATGATATTAATATACATCTTTTGGTGTTTAATTATACTATCTGACCAGATTTCTGCACAGTAGAAAAATATTGGTTTTATCATGGTATCGAGCATTTTAAGATATGTTTTTATTGGTATATACGTATCTGAGAATAACAACTGTTTCATTTTGAAGCATGCTTTCATAGCTCTATTTTTAAGATCTTCTTGCGTCAAGTCAAATTTACCATTTGTTTTCAATTTATTTCCAAGATAAGTGTATGTTGACACTTGTGTATATTGTCTATTGCTCTTGTTACCAGTTTAAACTGCTAAATTGAAACTACCCACTAAAATACAACCATCATTTTCTCATAAAATTAGGCTGGTGAGTGGTGACCCCAACTGCGTGTTCGAATTTCATGTAAATAAACAATGAAGCCTAGTCATAATTTTTGACAAAATTGGTCATAAATCGCATGACAATGTTCTTTAGTTTATTATGTACAATCATGAAGCTAATGTTCCATGGTATAATGAAATAGCATTATTGTGTGTGTTACAGTTATGCTTTTTGAGAAACGTGTTCCAATATTTCTTAAAAATTGCTATTTTTAGAACAATTCCATAGAACATAATGTTAAAGAAAAAATGGATTTTTTGACACTTTTTAAAACCCAGATTTTTTTAATAATTCAGAACAACAAAAGGTACTCCATCATTAACAATATCAGATTTTTTCAGCCTATGTCACCAGGCTAGATTTTGAGATATTGCATAATATCTCCGCCATAGGAACCTGTGGTAAAAGTGTTATAATAGTGTCAAAATGGCGACTTTCCACTAAAATACAACCATTAATTTCTCGAAAAAAAGGCTGGTGACCCCCAACTTTTTTAGGTCAATATCCTTATATTGCCACGTATGTGAACATGTCTCAGGGGCGGATACAGGATTTGTTTCATGAAGGAGGGGGTCAAACTTTAAAATCGCCAGATTAAGTTAATCATTTTGTTATATTATACAAAAACAAATTGAATAAATTGTTCAACGCCCATAGCTCCGCCGAGCGAAGCGAGCAGCGAAGCCGCCGAGCGAAGAGCCGGTGAAAATTCGAGAAAACAACAGGAGTTTGACTTTGAAGTAATCCTGAACAATCAAATTTATATGCGTTACACACGCAGGGGTAATCTTGTTACACTGTTCAGTGGAGTCTCAACAACTACCCCAAAGTACCGTTTTCTGAGAGTTTTCGGCCTTTGTTTTCACCGTGATAGTTGCCATGCGGTGAAATGCGGTGAATGTCCACCCCCGAGAATAGCAATTTTTACCCATGATGACAAATGTGTTCGATAAGATATCGCCATAAAACATTCAAATCTAATAGAGGTCTATACGCAAGAAAACGGTGAGCCCTTTAATATATCTTAGTGTCTTAACTTAAAGCGAGAGAGTCGTCACCTGCGCACGCGCGAGAATTAAGTTCCAGGCGACGATAACAAAACACGCTAACAATGCAAAGGCTCATGGGTAGACGTTTGTTTGTAAACAATGACACGCTATGGCCATCTGATGATGCGCAGGGGACGACTCCCAAGCTTGGTGAATACCACTTAGCCAAATCCTAATGAGCCAAATTAGCTTATCCTGGCATGCCCACTAAAACTATCCCAATTAGCCCACACAACCAATCATGGTGAGCCCAACCTAATCTGGTGTGCTCACTTAACCTCTTCGGCAAACCCATATAGTCTATCGTAGTGTGCCTACTTAACTTGTCCTGGTGAGCCCCACTTAGACAAATCGTGGTTTGCCGACTTAACCAATCACGAAGGGCCTATTTAATATATCCTGATGAGAATACTAACCTAATCATGGTGAGCCCACCTAGCCTATCCCAGTGAGCCCATCTAACATATCAGGTTAAACCCACTTAGCCAATTGTTATGTGCCCAATTAACTTATACCGGTCCTTGTAATTCCCACTTAGCCTAGCCTTTATAGAGCCTAGTTGAACATGTCCTGGGGTGCCTACAAAGCCTTTCCTGGCAAGTCCACATAGTCTATCCTAGTGGCACACTTAGGCTATCCCGAGGAGCCCACTTTGCCAAGCATGGTGAGCCCCCACATTGAAGTGCTATATTTATATGTGCTGCCAAAAGGGGTCCCAAATTCACCACTTCTGTTTGAAAAGGGGCATGTTATTTTACCCTGTCTGTCTGAAAAGAGGTATCCTTTTTTCATTATTTGTCTGAAAAGGGTCCATATTTTCCAAAGACTGTCTCCAGAGCTTGAGTGATCTAGCAATCAGGAGAATTCAAGCCCACCTGCTTTTCCCTTGGCACCATTTATGCTTACTGTCTGAAAAGGGGTGTCAAATATCCACAGTTTGTCTGATAAGGCGTAGGGGTTTCAAACAACCAGCTATTACCCCTTTCCAGTATTTTTTGCAAGTACCACCCACAGGAATAGGTTTGCAAGTGAGCCCCACTTAGCCTATCATGTGCCCTACTCTGTTGAACTTGAACTATCCTGGACACTTGCACTGGACACAGCCTATCTTGAGAGTCTATACAGACCATCCTATAGACAGCAGATACAGGATGCAATACAATTAAACCCCCATAGACAGCAATGTTAATACTTCAAAAGCAGGGCCATTTTAAACACAAGTACCTAAAATATTTGAAAATTCATAGCAGCAATGTGATTTTAGTAATCGCATAAAGGTGACTGAATCTATATATTATTTAATATTGTTTCAGACAATTGCAAGAGCAAAGTGACCTTACACAAAACATGTCACAAAAAATGTGATGTGAAAAATAATACGAGATGAATGGTTGCCATTTTGTTGAAATCACCAATATGATGGAGACTGTAAAAAATGATGACTCATGATTCATACTATTATGGGATGTGACAAAAACTCACCGGTAAGAGGCACTCAGTGGAAACGTATTTAACATTTCACCCGGGCACATGATAAGTTCATGTCATATTGTACTGCAATGCTCAAGGATTGCTTGTCAGAACTTGATTTCAATAGATAGCACCTTTTTTCACTTGAAAAGTGATTTAATGCGCAATGTTGGTGTATATATATGAGGCATAAGCTGTGATTACAGTGTCCATATTTCGATGATGGCTGATACAAATTAGCACTAATGAATCAGGATTTTTATAGAAAATATAAATGGGAGAACAAATTTAGAGAAGTAGTTTTGTTAAGTTACATCAGATTCTGAGATAAATCTCTCAGCCTATCAGATTGTTTTTATTTTAGCCTATCACAGACCTGATCTTATTGACCAATCATACACATTGCCGCTCATATATTTATATATATATATTTATGTTGCAATTGATACATGTGCTTTCTCTCACGTTCGTTCAATTAGTATATATACTTCAAATTTATGTATTTCACCAGTGTTCATCTGATGCTACTAGTTACTATGTCGCGATAAACCACTAACATCTTTTTGCATACAACTGTTTGGTTCTGTTCTGGTATAGTCTTTCCAAATCTTACCCTTCAGGAGTTAACTGCTACATACTAACTTTACTCCCCAACAAACAAAGATTAATAGTCATTGTCGTTTTAAAGGGTTGATTTGTCTAGTTTTTAAAAATCAAAAGTGCAACAATATCATTAGAAAAGTTGAAAGTCCACGAAGGCTGATTTACACTGGTAAGTCCAAAATGGTTTATTTTCACTGAGATTCCACTCACAAATCTTAGAAGGCTTATTCTTCCATCATATTGATAAAAGTTTGAAATACAAGAATGCCATTCTTTGCAAAAAGTTGTCAAAATAAAAGGGATTTACAGTCATGTAATGAACTCAGTTGTTTTCATTACAATTTGTCCTAAATCTTCAAATTGTAAAAAAATGACAGCAGCAAAAATACAATACAATACATGGGATACATTACCCGCAAACTAGAGTTACAACAACCAGTAATTAAATAATTTAGGCATTGTTTGATTTACTGAATTTAATGAGCAACTATACATAGCAATACATCTGTAATGAAAACAGTAGAATCTCTCCACAATTTAAAACAGAATGAAGGCATACAGCATTAAAAGAAGTGATCAACTCGGAAGACTTCCTCTTTATGCATTTCTGCGACACGTTGTGCTATTTTCCTAATGACACCAACTTTGTCCAGCATATATTGTTCATAGTAATCTTGTGATGGTTTACCAAAGTGTTGATTTCTGAAGCTGGGAAATAAAAATATCAACTCTGGTATGAGAGACAACTCACTCTGTACGTGTAAATCATGCATTTTTACGTTTGCATGGCTTTTCTTGTGTTCTTCCAAGTCAGTTAGAATTTCAAAGCTTAGCGTACACTGTGAACAATTCCACAGTATCTTGTTCGCATGCATTCGTGCTATATGGCTACGCTGATTCTGTTTGTATGAGAAGCGCTTATTGCAAACCTCACAAAGGTATGGTTTTTCACCAGTGTGCACCCTCAGGTGTTCGGTTAAAGATGTCTTTCGTGAGAAACCTTTCTCGCACACTGTACATTTGTGTGGTTTCTCACCAGTATGCGTCTTCTTATGGTGAGAGAGATCGCTGCTGTGAACAAAACATTTCCCGCAGTCTGTGCACTGGTATGGTTTCTCTCCTGTATGTATTCTCATATGATTCTTTAAACGATATGTAACAGCAAAGCACCGTCCACACTCTATACACTGGTATGGTTTTTCGCCAGTATGGATGGTCATGTGGCAGTCCATGTGGCATTTCTGTGAAAATCTTTTCCCACACTCTCCACACTTGAACGGCTTCACTTCTCGGTGCGTCTTCAGATGGTTGTACAGTTGTCGCTTGTGAGCAAAGTCTTTCCCGCACTGCTGGCAATTGTGGGATTTATCTTGCATGTGTGTCCAAGAATGATATTTCAAGTTATCTTGTCTGGGAAACTTCTTCCCGCAGTCCGGACACGCAAATGGTTTCTCCCTAGAGTGAGTCATCATATGGTAATTCAGGTGAGCCTGTTGTACAAACCTTTTTGCACAGTCCCCATACTCGCATAGATATGGCTTCTCACCTGTATGTGTTCTTGTGTGGTTTTCTAAATGACATCTTGAGGCAAATGTTTTATCACATTGCATACATGGATGTTTTTTGGGACTTTTCTTAGCCGTTCGACGGACATACGTTTTAATTACTGGAGCACAGTCAATACTTGGTTCAATAGGACGAGGTGGTACGAGTTGTTTACGTTGACTTCTTTTGTTTTTACTAGCATTATTAGTGTAATGTTGATGAGGATTTCTTCCGGTATACGTCCTCCAGTCAAATCCGGATGACTGTTGATCATGATCAGTGATCGGTGTTCCCAAATAAGAGTATAGAAATGGTGCATCTGCAAGAGACTTGGTTGGTGAGTTAATCACATCAGACTTGTCAGATGGGTGCATCCTGCAGAGACTCGGATATATACTACACCAAGGCAGACTCTTATTAACCTAGTACAAGTACATCTTGAACAGTGACTGTAAATCCTAAGTAAAAGAATAAAACGAAAAGATAAGCAAAATCGCCTTCTAACTTAGAAAACTTGAAAATAAATTTCTACGAAGGTTTCTGATAACCAATAGATGTAGTCTATGGTAAATTATTATAAATATTTATTTGTAAATAATATATTTACTCTATTAGAAGCACACCACATTACAAAAAAAACTAAAATAACATTTAATAAATTTACCGGTAAAATAACATAACTGAATGAATAAAATAGGACTTATTTTTGAAACATTTTGAAACTAGATTGCTTATTGCTAGACATGGTAATTTAAAAACATAGTTGAACTCTGGTGACCTTCCCTTTCTTGTAAAATATTATTTCTTTTATCATAGTCTGTTTCAATATGAATATGCATTGTCATAATTATTCATGAATAAGTTTTAGGATTGAAACAGTAGTGGGAAAGCAGTCTACTAAATGTCCTTGATTGATGTAAATATCTTACAAAAACATTGGTACCTAATTTGTTAAAATATTTTAAGGAACATAATTTCCAGCTTTATTCAAAGTAATTCAGATATTTTAGTATAAAAACAAATGCCTCATTTAAAAAAAAAGTGCTGCATTTATACATGAATAGATTTGTAAAGTATGCAAGAAAACAGAAAATCTTAGCTGGCTTTTGCCCAAGTATCTTGTACAGGTGTCCAAAATTATTGATTCACTGAGACAAATACAATGTATGAACTGTCTTATTATATTGTGTATTGTGACTACTTTATTATTTGAAACAATCAGTCTATCGGCTGAGATAGCTCCGCTGTTAGTAATGCACATTTCAATTAAAGAACTGAAGACATCATTAGAAAATAAACAATATGTATAGTATCAAAGCAATCGGACTTGCTGTTTTCAACAAAAATATTCATTAAAATTAGATAATTAAAGATATCATCACGAAATGAACAAATCTGAGAGAGGTATACCTGAGGTACTAGTACCTATATGTATAGTATCAAAGCAATCGGACATGTGTTTTTTAAACAAGAAGTCGAAAATATCACTTTTTACCAAAAAAGACAAAAATAATCATTAAAATTAGAGAATTGAAGATATCATCACAAAATGAACAAATCTGATAGAGGTCCACATGTAGTACCTATATATGTAATATCAAAGCTATCGGACTTATGGTTTTCAACAAGAAGTTGAAAATATCACTTTTTACCAAAAATTACAAAAATATTCACAAAAACTGGAGAATTATAGATATCATCACATATGAACAAATTTGAGAGAGGTCCACATGTAGTACCTATATATGTAATATCAAAGCAATCTGACTTGCGGTTTTTAACAAGAAGTTGAAAATATCACTTTTTACCAAAAATTACAAAAATATTCACCAAAATTAGAGAATTGAAGATATCAACATGAAATGGACAAACCTAAGAGAGGTCTACCCAAGGTACATATACACCAAGTATCAAAGCATTCAGGC